TCCCACATTTAACCACAGTTAACACATGAACTGTGTTATCAACCTTATTTTTAACTTATATTTTTTTACTCAGTAACTTATCATTGATATGTTATGAAATAATAAGTCCTCAACAAATAAATTCACAACAATGCTCAATGTTGTCTATAATACTCTTCACTTTATCAATAATCTACACAGACGAGTCCCTAGAACGGAGTGAGCCTTCTTTATCTGCTTTTTGAGCTTTTTTTAAGTTATTATCTCTAATACTGTTACCCCAGCAGGTGATGGAGGAAGAGATCACCCTCTCAATGACAGAATTATGGATAATATGTAGCATCTCGTTGCAAATGCAGAAGGACCTAAGTTTGCATATGAAGAACAATCTGCCCTGATCCTTCATGCAGATACCTGCACAGTTGCATCTCCAGTCCAGTGTGTGCATCAAGGTACTCCTCCACCACCTTCACTTTTTCTACCAGGATGTTAACGTGATTCAGCTTCTTCCTTCTGAAATCTACAATCATCTCCCTTGTTTTGTTGACAGGATGATTGAGATTGCAGGATGATTGTTTCCACATCATTGCCACAAAGTGGTAAGCCAGCTCTCTGTATTCAGCTTCCTGAGCTGAATACAGAGCTATCTGAGTATTTCTCAAGAAGACAGGACCGTCTGGTACTGGAAGTCAGAGGTGTGCAGAGTAAAAAGGATTGAAGAGATTACTGTTCCCTGTGGTGCTACTGTGCTGCTGGCTACTTAATTAGATCATTGACCCTTTAGTGTTGAATACAAAAATCCAGTTTTTCCTAATCTGGTTTGTTTAGGCTTCCAGCAGACGATGAATATATTTATTTTTTTGTATATTAAAAAAAAATTCAATAAAAAAGGAAGAGAGAGTTACAGTGAGCACAATGAAGGTCGAACATATGACCAAAAGTTATTAATGAGTTTGGACCTTTTGTTTGGAACATTGAATTCTGGTGTCAGGGCATATATTGCAATGGCCACTGACACAAAATTAAACCGAGCAAAACTCAGACTCAAACTTAAGCCCATAAAACAGGGAATTTATATCTTGATTAATCCACTGATTACCAGGAAGTCATCATTCTGACTAGCTGTTATTCTGATGATAAAAGCATTAGAATTCTACTTTTTCCATAGAAGACACATTGATTCCTTCTACAAGATCCTTCTGAGACATTAACCCTTTAATCTTGAAACTGAAAATGTGCTCTAACTCCTAAGGTTGTGGAAAGCTTTGGGATTGTCTAGGTGCCTATAATGGTTCAGTTCTGAGTCCATCACTACGCCCAGATTTTGTCGTGATCATTAGTTTTTGGCTTTATCAAGTGAAGCTGTTGCCTTATACAAGACATTAAGGCAAATAAATTCAAAGTTGTTGCATTTTCTACTTTAAGACAGGTTTTATTTATCCTCAAGATTTACATTATGAACCTCAATGTGTTTCCATTATCTGTCTCTTTTATAACTATTTTAACTATTGAGTTTTATTGTCTCCAGGGCAGCAACATTTGCTATTCTCTGAACTTAACCTAAAAAAATCTGTCATTGACTAAAAGAAAAAATAAACGAAAGCTCTAAAAAGATTATTCTAACTAATTTTGATTCAACTGAATTTCTGGAAAAAACTTAGTTATCAAAAAAACATCAGAATTTTCAAATTATAACTCATATCTTTAAGTATATTTGATTTAACGCCTTAATAAATACTAATATGGTAAGTATTTAAACTTAAATATTAAAGCTAAATTTTTGCTCAACATTAAAGGTGTAGAGTAGATAAAAACAAAATAGCATCACTAATGTAATGGGGATTAGTTCCATTTTTTTGTCTTCGTCCATATCTGTTTTGTTATTTCCAAACATAGACATGTTTAGCCCAACACCAGCAGGAAAAACCTGAAGTCTACGGCTCTCTGGGCCACAATTAGTAGTTTCCTGTTCAATGATCTTTTGACACTGGTTGAAGACAAACTTATTTTTTGTGCTCAGACAAGAGAATTATTTGTTTAAAAAAAATCATGTTTAATGCTATTCTTGCAGATCCTTAAAATTGTTTGCTGGTAATAAACTTAGTTAAAGAACGGCATAATGGAAGCACTAAAACTTTAACTAGATGTAAATAATGTTACAGCATGTTGGAGGAAATATACTTCGGTATAATTTCTCACATTTTACTTTGCCCTCACGTAATAGACAGTCTGTTTTGTGTTTTTTTTTTTTCTTTTACATATGTCAGACACAAAAGCAATCCCTCACACCAAGCATGCTTGTAGCGACAGTGGAGATGAAAACTCAATTTTAATAGGAAGAAACATGCAGCAGAATCAGGTTCAGTGTGAGCGGCCATCTGCTGGGGCAAACTGGGGTTCAAGGAGACAGAAGCAGACAGAGAAAAAGAAGCAGAGATACAAAAGGCAACTGTCAATCAGCTAAAAAGGCGGCCCCGTCCAGTAAACACACAGCTAGACAGACAAGCTCCGAGCCAGCTACCACGTCAGAGAATGAAAGAGAGCACATACAGTTATTCAAAGTCAGAGAAACAAGACAACACTGAAAAACAGGCCAAGCTCCAACATCTATAAACAAATATGTTGATGGCAGCAGTACAGCTGATGTTTCTCTCCATGAGGGTGTCACAGCCAAATTTTTTTAACAGTTTTGTTCCAGAATGTTTAAAGCATCACACTTCAAAAACTGTTGTTACTACATTTGTAAACTGACAGAATTGCTGGAAAGATTAGAAAACTCTAGGTGTTCAGAAATTTTTGCCCATATTGTTTAGTCTTGGTCTTCTTTATCATCACTGGGAATGTCATCCCCTGCTCAACACCCTGTTTTGTGTATTAAGAGTTTGTATGAAGCTCTTTTGATCCACATAGAATTGATAATCAGTTCTTCTAAAATTACTAATTATGTCAAAAGTTATATACTTTACTATTTGACAATGACAAAAAGTAAAAAAAATGCTATATTTGGACTGCATTAAAATTGTTGAAGGATTTTTTAAAAGATTTTAACAAAGAATTTTGTGAAAGAAATGTTAATATGATTTATTTTTAATACATTTTTCAGTTTGAATGTCTAAGATTAATTTGAAACTGAACTTTTATTGCGGTGCACATTAGCAGACTAGATTTTTTTTCTCCCCTAATTTTATTCTCCTCTTTTTTGTTTTCTGCATGTCAGGAGATTATTGATAGACCCCGCATGACACATTCAAAATACCCTAATGCATCGTGTAGAGTTTATTTCATTTAATGGTCTCCAACTGAGCAATAGTGCACAGACTGACAGAGAAATACAAGAAACTGTTATTTCATTCCATGAAACAAAGAAGTCCCTGACTGTTCAGCAGTGAATCACTGAACAAAATACTAATGTGTTGTCATTGTGTCATTATGCTGAAAGCAAAAGCTGTTCTGACCCAGGATCCATTTCTTGTCAAGCTGCCACAACATTCCAATTTGCATTTCTGAGCACAGCAAAAGTCGTTTGTTTGCAGCCTGAGATGTTGATCGTTTCAGCTAATGCACTGTACAGTCGGATATGCAGATCAATAAGCTCCTCTTACCCTGTAATCACTCCAAAAGGTTATTAAATAGATCATGTGATCTCTGTTATTATCTAAAGTCTGCAGGTATAGATTTTCTAGAGATCAAATGGGAATACATTTAGGGTGTGTACCAAATAACACCAATGTGTAACCCCCTCAAGGACATGCACAGTCAGTGTGTTTTCTGCAGATTCTTTAGACAGCAGGAAAAAGGCCATGCCAGAGCTTAAAATATATGAGCACCAACATGACAAGAACAATTAGTACAAAAGGAGGAGAACAATAGAGGATCTATTCATACAGATATAATGAATAATGGCTGGCAGCTTGGAACCTTCTTGGCAGCTGAGTATGTGGGCATTTGGTTGTTGCTCTGCTGCACTCTAGTGGTAAAAATATAACACTGGAAAAAAAAAGAACAAAAAATATTAGGTTCTAAAAACATTTCCTTTTAGATAATGTACCAATGATGTTTAGCAGTTTAAGAAACCCTGCTGCTAATAATGATGCATGAGCAAGGAGTTGGAACTTGCAAATACTTTGGTGTGTGTTTTGCTTCTTACATTTTATACAATAGATCTTACCCACCTGGATAAGTCTGGGAGCGCTGTCATGATCATGTTTTTCCTAGGGAGCCATTTATAAACATTCTCTGACACATGACTTTGTGTACTGATGCCAACAGCACTCTATCCTGATTAATGCTGGAAAAACCCAGGAGCATTTATCGGATTTCCAAAGGTACAGACCTTCCATCCTGACACCCTAAAAACCCAGAGAACTGAGCTCAAATTTGGCCCTTAACAGTTCGTGATGTTAACCTAAGAAATAAATTGGACTAGAGAAACAACAATGATTCCTAAGGGTAAGAGTCCTGTGTTGAAGGAATTGGTGAGAGCAAACTACCTCCTAAGGAGGCTAAGGTTTTTTTTCGGAGTTCAGGGAGTGTTCTTGGAGACCATCTTTTTATGTCAATGGTGGCATAAGCCATCTTCTATGATGTCGTTTTTGAAGCAGCAGCCTATCTACAGCCAGAAACTGATTAAATAGGTTGATTAGGGATGGCAGCTTTCTTATTTGATGCCCACGTTACCCAGTGCAGGCAGCGGGATAAAGAAAGACGTAAGAATAAGATCACTGTTGAGCACTGTCTGCTATCCTTAGCACAAATCTGTTACAGAACAGGTGAACTGATGCAGTGAAATACTGCTGCTCCTAGGTGCACTAAGGAGCATTAAAAAAACAAACTTTTTTTTGTAAGGGCCAGCAGAACCATGTGCTTTTCTCAGTGCAAATGTTTATTTATTTATTTATTTTTTGCAGTAGCTTACCAAAGTTGAACCCTAAGAATAAGGCCATTTTGAGCAGTTTTTATTCAAGTTCTCAGATTATCAGCATTCTTAGATGCTTGCAAGTCGCATTAAAAAAAACTTCCACTGTTGCTGACAGGCTTCCTGCATTCTTTATTGAGTATAAACTTAAATTTTCTAAATATAACCATACTAGATTTTACAAATTTAAAATACTGTTCAGTGTGTACAGACACCTGTTCAACCAATCATTAAAAAAATTACAAGAAAAATAGGATTTGATAAACAAACTGCTTCATTAGATATTAAAAAAAGACAAGAAACATTAAATGTTAAACATCTACATGTAAATAACAAACTTAAGTACTTGTAATGTAATTTATATACAGTTTTAGCAAAATAACATTTTCATTTACCATTAAGCTGAAGAGCTTAACACATTACCTGCTTCCAAAACAAGATTTTAAAAACATAAAAGGGGCATACAGACAAATATCTAACAAGATTTAGATAAATAATGAAACTGTACACTTGGCTTTGCACTGTCAGGAACTTGACGGGACAAATAATAATATTCTTTTAGAAAGAATTTAATATTTTGTAAGAATTAAAGGAACAGTACTAGGCTTGTTTGAATCCTATTTATCTGACAGATATCAGTTTGTTCACATTATTTATGAATCTTCTTTGTGGTCCAGGGTTACCTGTGGAGTACCACAGGGATCAGTGCTAGGACCAATTCACTTTACTATATATATGCCCCCTATTGGTAGAATTATTAAAAAAGCTTGAGATTAATTTCCACTTTTATACCGATGATACTAAGCTATATCTGTCTATGAATCCAGATGAAGCTAACCCATCACATAGACTAGAGGCATGTTTTGAGGACATAAAAACCTAGATGACTCTTAACTTTCTGCTTCTGTATGCAAACAAAACTAAAGTTATGGTCTTTGGACCAGAGTCTTTGAAAAAGAAGCTGATTAGTCAGTCACTGCATAAACAGAAAGGTATGAAATATATCTCTGCCTTAGTCTGATGACTTAAGATTTCTTTGTCTGCTGCAGAGCTGGCAAACGTTCCTGCTCCACGCTTTGGACAGCTGACGGATCAGATCATGAAGGACTGAGTTTGTTTGTAGTGCTTGAACTGTAGGGAGCAGAGAGAAAATACAATGAACTATTTCTTAAATTAGGCAGTGACTGCTGTTATCAGCAAACCGTCAACTGCATTACATGGCAAACACAAAGTAATTCAAACAAAACAAGTCCTGGCAAGACAACAGCTGCTTCAGTGACTTACGTTGATGGTGGGAGGAGGAGGAGGCGGGGGAGGGTTGTAGGACTTAGTGCTGAAGGACAAAGGGTGACAGTTCAAATGAGCCCTGAAGCAGATAGTATAACTCATAGGACTTAAAGTGAGAGCCAGAGGAGTTACTCACGTTTTTGTCTTTCTGCTGTCTGTGAACAAAAGGAAAAAGATACCAGGAAATGAATGCATGTGCAGGTTTAATCAGCACCATAAATATTTTTATCTGTTTAAAGTGGTAAACATTTACTAATGGAGTCTTCAGATAGACATATTTTACTTACAGATATGTTTGGATCTGATTTTCCTGAGTAAATGTTCTATTTAAAAAGCTTAATACTCACCCACGCCTACCAAGTGAGAGCCAATTCTTCTGTACAATTTCAACTAATATCTTATTATTGTTGTTTAATCTTAATAAGGGCCATGTTTTTGTTCCAGTACAACTCATATTGTCTTATTTAATTTTAAATTCCAAAATCAATTTATACTAAATGTTTGTTTAGTGTCTTTGTGTAGCACCCACTCACCAAAACTATTTTATACGTGTCGAACAAACTAATCAATAAAGAATTTTCTGATTCTGATTAGAAGATGATAAAAATAATCTTTAAAAAAAACAGATCCGTTTGTCAGGAAAAATTTAACTTAGCACTCTTGATTGGCTGTTTATGCTAAAACTGAAACATTTCCTTCATATTTTCCATCAGAAAATATAATTAGCAGGAACTGCCTTTTTGTCCCTTATGCCTGAGATTATAAATGTTTACATGGTTAATGTCAAGTAAGAAGCATGAAATCATGTTTTCTAGGGGAAAAAAAATAAAAGATCTGAAATCTGTTGATTAAGATAATAATCGCCACATTACACAAGTTGGTAGCGCTCAGCACTAATCCTGTCCCGGAGGTGTAATTAAACATCACAGCTATCTCAGCAGTGTTTTCAGCCTGTGTTTCTCCAACAGGATGTGTTAAAATAATGAACTGAACATTCAAATACTTTAAGTTGGCTGTGAAACCTAAATGACTCATTTAAAAACTGTCAGATTTTAGGTAATATTGGTTCTCCTAAACCTCACACTGCAAAATGCTAAGTAAAAAATAATTACTTTTTTGTAACATAAAGGGGTGGTTAAAATGATCTACAAATGGAACAAGATTTTTGAATCTTTGAATCTTACCCTCTTAAATAAGGAAGAAATATTTACTCTTATAAAAGGATTTTTGCACTGGACTTGTTAGTTTTCTCTCATTATTTCTTAAAATCCTAATATTCACCCTTTTAACCACACACCTAAAGTTCAGCCTCAAGTTGGGAAAAATCAAACCACAAAAACATGACAGGCAGCATTGACACTGGTGCTGTGGTTTCTTAGACAAGAGAAGTACAGCAAATAAAAATTTGACTATAACATGTGACATGCACAACAAAAAATTAGAGTTTAAATACAAAAAAGGAGACTATATTGCAGTTTACAGGGTCATAACCCAAAATATCAATATTTTCAATATGGTACAAGTAATCTGCTAACAATACTACTTGCTATATAAAGATTTTGGATATTAACAAGGCTGGTAAATGTTACTATCACTGTACGTTCACTGACTGTCTGTCTGTCTGTCTGTCTGTCTGTCTGTCTGTCTGTCTGTCTGACTGTCATGTGCTAACATGTTTTGAACTAAATACCACAGCATTATGTATGTTTTTTGTCTGTAGAACTTAATGCGTAAACTCCGTCCCCTCTGGAGTGTCTTCCTGTACAACTCAGCCCAAAGGTCTGTAGTAAAATGTCAGCACTCACTCTTGCAGCAGCCTCGGCGCCGGCAGATACAGATGCAGATGCAGCAAAAAAGGATCAGTACCGCAAACCCTGATGTACTTGCTATCAACATTGTCATATTCCATGGATCTAAAAAAGACAGTACCACATGTTCAGTCATCTATTAAGTTGTAGATTACAAATTACTTTTCTTTTTGTATTTTCTACAAATATACGAACTTTCAACAACTGTGAGTTGTTTGGCTACACAGCTCTTTGGTGCCCCCGCACTATTGGAGGACTCACAGCGGTACATCCCCGTGTCTTCTTTGGAAACACTCTTGAACTTCTGCTCCAAACCATCAGACAAATTCAGACAAGAGGAGAGATCAGCTGCTTGACCTGCCGGACATCTGTCACTCAGATTGTAATTGGTTGCTTTGCAAAAACAGATATTGCAGCATTGTTTGAAAGCTCTCACCAGTGTGCCCTTATTAGTGTCCACGCTGTATGGAGCATCTCCTGTGGCCGTCAGAGCCTTGTTGTCTTTGTACCAGCGGTAGGTGGCAGGAGGCACACTGAGCTTGTCCTTACAGAACAATTCAAGATTGCTGCCGACAAACACAGAGCTTGGCACCTCACACGACGGGACATGAGGAGGCACTTAGGAGGAAGAGAGAAAGATCAGCTAAATATGCACAAGGAATTATGCACATGCTTGTAAAGTTTCTGCATTTCTTACTGTATTATTAAAAGACTTTAAAAGAAAAGAGAAACAAGCAAATTGTGACTATTTGGGGTTAGGCTTTATTCTCACTACACTTTAAAACTCAAAATAATGCTGAAAAGGTCAAATCTGCACTAAAAACCTAACCTGGTAGTTGACAGATTCACGTGTAAAACTGAGTAGAGTTCTATGTTTTCATTTATTTGTTGTGAGACTGAAAACTCAGATCTCACGAAAATCCAGCTTGCGGTGCAAGATTACTAAAAACCTGCCACCCTCAGAATGTAGGATGGATTAGCTCTTCATACTGTAGATAAAATCCTAAGTTTCTGGCATTCCTATCTCATAAACAGCTGGCCACGACACCACAAACATTATAACCTTTTGAAAAGCTGCTATTTGTTATAGTTTTTATTTCACTGCAGAAAGAAAATGCCATAGCATATAGGGATTTGCATGGACTGAATCCTGAAACTGAATCCTGCTGTAAGATTTAAAGAATAAAGTTTTTTTCTGGGTCTCCTATTCTGTACCATCCAGATCTGGATCACAATCTCTCATTTGTATCTCATCAGAACACCCAAGTTATTTATAATAAACCAGATATAATAAATTAAATGTTACAGATGTGTTATTTTGGCATAAAAAAAAAATGAGATGAAAAGACTGTAGAGAAAGCATGATCCAGCTGTTTTAATAGTACATCAAAGGTTTATTTGTTATCTTCTAAAGATTATACAACCACTTCTAAATCTAAATGAAGTATTTTAGAGGGTTCTTTTGGACAAAAGGGTAAACAACCCTTATTATGAATTTTTACTAGCATGACATATTTTGACCCATCAGTGGATAACAGAGCTGGGTAGTAACTGGTTACATAATTCAGTTACATTTATCTTAGTAACTTCAAATAATACAAAAATACTTAAAGGAATATTTGCACTTAGTAATCTAAAGCAATAGATTGGCCAACAGCAAGTCATAACTAAGCTACTGTTTGCTCTGTCAGAGCTTACAGTAGTTTTCCATACCAAGTACATTGAGGATCACAGTGGCCTCTCCAAGGTTAACATGGTCTTCAGTGGCAGTCACCTCACAACGATATTCTCCCGAGTCTTTCTGGGTGACAGAATGTATCGTCAATGTTGCTCCCTCTATTTTAGCCCGACCCGCATATGACTCTGCAAAGAAGAGAAATTCTGACTTAGGATGGAAAAAAGGTGGCCAATTTTGGGACAACAGGTAAAGAGGTTTGCTTGAGAAATAAGCGTGTCCTTTAAAGGTATTTGACCTACTGGGAAATGTCTTATCAAAGTAAACAAAAGTGACTCCTTTTCCTTTCTTTTTCCACTCAATTCGAGGGTTCTGGTCTTTTTCAGTCTTGAACTCACAGGGCAACACAGCATCTTGAAGGGCATAAAACAAAACAGGTTAAAAACGATTAAAAAATACCAATGAACAAGGAGAAAAGACATACACATCCAGTCAGGAAAGATATTCTGCTAGAGGAAATAAACAAATTTTAAATATGTGACCATTGGTTTCATACAGTCAGACAGTTCAATGTATTTGAATATAATCAAAACATTTCACTAAGTAAAACACAACAAACACAGATAAGACAACTAAAAACATACAATTTTATGTTTGCTCGTTATTTCTTTCTAGTTTTATGCATATATGTATAAAAGAAGAAAATAAAGGATGAAATTTTTTAAAGAAAAAAAAGATTATGTCCAAAAGGAATGGAAAGAAGCAAATGTTATAAATGTCTTAGTATTTATTTGATTTAATTATTTAGCAATTTAAAGATAATAATATTACACCGGATCAATACAAAAGTCAGTTTCATGGCTGTATTTTAATTTTCTTTTATATTGAAAAGGTTCTTTTCACATAAAAAACTAGTTTAACTAAAAAAAATATTCTAAGTGAGTGACTGTATATGATGTCTTTGGCATTTAGTTCACTGGTTACTAGATTAATGATCAGGACCTTATCTGTGGTCATGAATCAACAGGTGTGTTAAAGCTAAAGCTTAAATAAATATAAGATAAAACTGAAAACATACAAATGGATCTAATCAATGTACAGTATACTTTAGCCAGTGGTAGGGGTTACTGTTTAAAGTTTTTTTTTTTCTATGTGCAGTCATACCTGTGTGCTCATGGATCTCCACTTTGGGTGTGCTGGTGCTTACTGTCACCGACAGACATGTGTGACCTATAACAGAAAGAACAACACAGTCATATTTCTTTCAGCTTATCTAGTACAGGCTGTGATACTTTTACAAACATGTAATCTTCATAAGTCACAGTGGACCTTGATCATTTTATAGCGAACCAAAACCCTTTTATCAAGCTGTCCTTCAAAGAGCAGTAAAATGTAGAACAAGGAACTTAAGAAGAAATTATAATACAGGAAATGTCCATCCATCCATTTTCTCCCACTTAGTCCTGTCAGGGTCCCGGTGGGGCCTGTGACTATCTCCAGCAGTCTATGGGCGAGAGGCAGGGTGCATCCTGGACAGGTCACCAGTCTGTTGCACACAACTATGCACACATGCTCTCACACCTAAGGAAAATTTAGAGAAGCCAATTAACCTAACACTCATGTTTTTGGACTATGTGAGGAAGCTGGAGTACCCGGTGAGAACCCACACATGTACAGGGAGGACATGTCATCCCAAAAAGTAAAAAAAAATTAAAAAACAATCCACTGGACTTTGTTTTCCAAGTATGAAGATGTTTCGCTTCCCATCCAAGAAGCTTTCTCAATTCAAAATGTCTGAATTAGCATTTAGTTTCAAGCTTTATAGAGCAACCCAACAAAATGCTGTTATGGCTTAGAAAGCATGCAAATTGAACCCGAAAAAAACAGGTCTACCCCTTAGTAATGGGGAATCGTCAAGATCAATGTAGGCCTGCAATACCCGATACTGGCAAATGCCTCTGAAAAGGGAGTCGTTGGGGAGATCATGCAAACTCCATGCAGAAAGACCCTGGGCCCGGAGTCAAACCTATAACCTTCTTGCTGCAAGGCAACAGTGCTACTCACTGCCCCATAGTACAGCCCATTATAGGAAACATATGTTTGATTGTTCTAAAGTTAAAGGTTAAAACATAATTTATCATGAGTGTATAAGGTACAGTAGCATGTAAGAGTTATTTTACCATAAGCACAAGATTTGATAGCAAAACTAAACTGTACAACAAATCCGCCCCAACAAATATTATTGACATTTTCTTCAGAGTTTTATATTTATTTTAAGTGATGAATAAATACCACTCCTCTACTGAAATGAGCTAAGGTTGACGCTAAAGTTTGACAGTAATACTTTATTGGCTACAGATAAAAATGTAAACATCAGGATCCGGACTGTCCGGATATCCACAAAATATGCATAAAGTTCACAAAAGAAAAAATAGATTTGTCTTGAGATATCTATCAGATTAAGCCAAATACTTTACTCTACAAATATGTGATAGCGTGTTCAATTGAATGTATTTTATCCAAATCCAAATGGTCTAAACACAAACCAATTTAAACTCTAACCAGAAACCTAAAACCTCAACCAAACATTTTCTCTCAGTTATCAGGTGCAGTCTCCAAGCAGCCTGTGAGCATATGAACAGAATGAGAGGGGAACATATAGAGTGTGTGGTTACATCCTGGTGGTGCCAGGAGCGGTGCTATGCAGGAATGTCGGTGATGAATCATCTCCTGACAAACTCCTCTATCACAACCTGATAACCTTCTTCAGTGATCTGTCTCTCCCAGCTTTGCTCAAACTCTAACACACACAGATGCTGTACAAATATCTACATGCACAAAGTTAACAGTCAAAAATTAGTGCACAATACATGAAGTAAGACTATAATGTTTTGCTCATTTCTAAATTCAAGTGTGCAGCTCCAGTCTGAGAAGATATAAAAATTTTTGCAGCCTCTCACAATTTTTCTTTCAGCATTGTCCTCTATGCAACTACCCAATTACACTGTCCAGCATTTCAAAGGGGAGCATCTCAACAACATAGAATAGAATAAAATAGAATAGAAAATCCCTTTATTGTCCAACAATAAGGAAACATGATGCTCCCACCATCATGTTTAGCCAAGGGGATGGTGTGTTTAGGGTACAATCCATTAGTTTCCATACAGGAAATGGTCAGAGAGAGAAGGAAGGTAGACGTGCTGCATAGATCCAAGGGTCTGGAATCAAACCCTTCACATCTGCATCAGGGATTTATAGACTCCATATCTAAGGTGCATATATCCCTTTTATGCCACTTAATACCAAGTAATCATGATGACTTAGCTTTCTGAGCTGTCTGCAGATTTTTCCACTTGAGCTGTGGATCTCTGTAGGTTCTCCAGATGCACCTAGAGCCTCTTGGCTGCCTCTAGGATTAATGCGCTCCTTATCCGATCTGTCAGTTTAGGTGGACCTCTAACTCTGCATATATTTATAATCAGATTTAATTGCATAAATTACCAATTTTTTTTATTAGAAAATAGCTGCACTGGCTTTGGTACTGGAAGAGATGCCTCATTTTTAAGATTTTATTTGTCAAAAATTTAAAAATCTCCTTCTGCCGTCTTCCCTTAGTTATATTTTAAATTGTGCTGGTCAGTCTCATGGACTCCCAATGAAATAATCCAATATATGGTGCTGTAAGAACATGTGAAAAAGATCTCAAATGATACATTAACGAGAGACAGTGTGCAGCTTCAGATCCTACTACAGGCACATGTGTCCTAATTTGTCTGAAGATGTCTTTCAGTCGATGTGCCTGTGTGTGTTGGTACATCATGCATGTGCTCTGCCTGCACACAAAGAGAGACTGTATGACTGTAACCTTAGCCGCCTCAGCTGACACACCACACACAGAGGCATGAACATTTGTAAGAATCTGATTGAAGCCTGACACCCTGAACTATAAGTTTTATCTTCACCAATAACTTTTGCTATTTTTCTTCTCTTTAAAATTCACCTAAAAGAGCTTTTAAAATGTTATTTGGTCAAAATAAGCATATGTTTTAATGGCAAATCATAGATATTTGAGTTGTTGTTTTATTTTTCATTTCTTGTGTACTTCAGATGCAGCATACTGTAAACGGAACAACTTCAGAATCTGAAAGAACTAAACATTTAAATTCTATATACCCAAAGCAAATCTCTTATTCCACAAAAAAATAAATAAATAAAATCTATATTGTTACTTTCATAAGGAGATCTGCTCTGCACTAGGAAAGATGAGGAAAATCGAAAATACCAAAGCTGCAATCACTGAGAAAAGGCATGTTGTTTAAAATTCCTTTAGCAAGATCAAATATTTTTTTAACTGATTATGAGCAGTTAATCTAATCTCACTCTAATTAACAACTGGGTCAGACCAAGGCCAACTTTTCTAACTAAGACGACAGGATCTGAAATTCCTCTGTAGCTCCTTTTCATCAGCATGTGGATCTGCAGTTCAAACAGCATCAGAGAACGCTCAGTGTAAACATACACAGCCACTCCCTTTACAATCTCGGCCTCTGAACACAAAACACCCTCCTCCTGCTGCACAAGGGGTCTGCAAAGGCTCAATCACACTGACTATAAATCAGTAAAAAGAAGCCAAGTAGATCTAACTCAAATGGAATCCAGTAAATTATCAGAGTAATTTCTCTTGGTCTGTGCATAGTTTTACCATTTACTTTATCAGATGATGGCTAAGAAAGTGTGAGTCTGATTTTTTAGAATGAAAGTGTTTTGGTATAAAAATACACAAAAGCAGCAATATCAAATTCAAAGCATGTTTGCACATCTAAAAAAAGTATTCTTTCATGTACTCTATGCTTGTCGGTTTTCCTTAATTAAATAAAATTTAACTCAAATGTTTGAAGTAAAATGTTAATTAAAAGAACAATCTCTGTAAAAATATTCAATATTCAAAATTAAACTTTTCTGAATTTCTTGCAGCCAGGAGAATCGTAAACTACTTTTAGTTTTAAATCTGAGTAGTGATCTCCAGTTTTCCCATCCAGAACAACTTACTGTGAAAAACGATGAGGAGCAGGAGTGGCGGCAGCATCTTCATGGTGTTTTTAAGGTTCCTCCTGATTCTGGAGTTCAGCTCTGAGGGCGTTTGTCCAGTCTGGATGATAAAGTTTAACTGCAAACTCTCTACAGCCTCTTTAGCAGGTTTAATTTGCAGGAGGAACTGTGGGGGTTCATGTATACTGGACAACTGACAGGGTGTGAGGGAGGGAGACAGGGGTTTGCTCTGCAGACACACACCCACACACACACACACACACACACCAAGGAAATACAAGCAGGGAAAGGGTCTGTGTTTTGACTCTTGTCAACTGAGTGCATGTATTAGACATTTTTATGGTTTATCATGTTTACTTTGCCTATAAGAAAAATGTAATTTATATCCAAGAATCCTTTAGCATTTTAATTACATTGGTAAAATAATGATCAGTGCAAAGGAAAAAGGCTTATTTTTAATCTGCAAACAAAAGTTATAAACATCACTGAAGTTGGATTTCCATTATTTAGGGTAAAATAACTAAAGGAGTTTCTTTCAGGCAGTCGTGGAAAAGTAAGGATACCCCTTTTGTTTCTCTAAGGATATTTTATATCAGTTTTAATAACACAAAGAGACTCATATGATTTAAATCATTGATACAAGCTAAATAAAAAAAATCTAAAATTTATTTTTTTTGTGAGAAATTATGTGCATGATTGGAACATCATTACTCTTTGTTTTAAAGGTTTGCCATGTTAAAACCTCTGACATTTAGCTTGGTTTCTTCTCATCTTTTAAATTATTTGAACACAGTAGTCAGATCTATAGGCTGTCTAAGGACTCCAGCAAATTATGACTGTTTGAAGAAATGAAAAGGGTTAAAAGAGAAATATGAAGTTTAATTTCTCTCTCTGGTTGGCTGAGAAAGTTCACCCTGATAACCACCCACCAATCATTACATTTTTATGGTTCATAATCAGAGCGCTTTGGGGGGAATGTAGATATTTTATAAAGGGGGAACATGAATAAAGCCTTGAGGAACCTCACCTGAGATCTTTATTTAGATTTATCATTGCATTGACTTCAAAATTTCAGTTTTCATACAATTTAAGCATGATAAACTACTGCCATGTTAAGTCATTTAAATCTCTTTTTTCCCACTCTGGTGTTTATTTAAAACTTCAGAATATTTTTCTTTTACCACATATACATTCATATCAGATAAAGTATGTATTTAAAATAACTCTTCTTAATCAGCTATTAAACATAGCTTTATTGGTCACACCTAAATATCTAATCTTAAATGTTGGGTTTTCAGTAGGTTACTAATTGTCATGATTTGCAAAAAGTCAAACCTTAAAAACTTTGTGAAATAACTAAATATGATTTTCTTTCATCTAGTGAAATCCATTGTAATAAAGGGAGTTTTTCCTCTCCACTGTCACTAAAAGCATGCTCGGTGTGAGGGATTGCTGTGGAGTCCATGAGTCGATGCAATCAGCTGGTTCCTTAGAAAACTTTGACTGAATTGTCTCTAAAGTGCCTTAAGATGACATGTGTTGTAAATTGCCTCTATATAAATAAACTAAACTGAATCAAAGAGCAAACTTAATTTATGAAATAAATGTATTTTTATATGATATTCTAATTTACTGAATATGACGATATTATTAATGGCAAAATACGCAAGCTGCTAACTTGATTGATAGAATCTCTTTTTGTGTTTGAACTTTGAGTTGAAGCAATTGAGTTCGATTGAATGTACTGCATGGATAGGCCTTCAACCATAATTCAAGAGTGGTATGAATTTGGTTTCCCAACTTAGTCTAAAAGAAAATGTTAGCCTCACTTTTACTGATGCAAAATGCAGGATTCAAATAAAATATTCTACCAAACATATTGACTTAGACCTCAATGGGAACAAAAATCACCCAGCAACTTTACCCAAAAATCAGACCTAAAATCAGTCCCTACTAAATCAGGCTGAGTAAATAGAGTGAGCAACATCCTGTTCTTGCTGATTAAAAATATCCCACAAAAATTCAGACCAAGATAGTTAAAGATAAGGTATGCTGGTTTTTATATTTTTTACTATAACCAGGCAAACCTGTGAGACCTTTTTAATGTTATCTTTATGTCTGCACTGTCTTGCAAATCACTTTTCTACAGAAGTTGGTCTCATTTGTTTGTTTAATTGTAATATTGTGTTTTAGTATTAAGCATTTAAAAATCAACAATTCTTTTTTTTTGTTTTTTGGCCTCCATTGCAAAACTTTTGGACACACTTGATGTATTCAGAAGACTAAAGAGACATCCTGAATGTTACGGTACTTCAAGTATGAGCGGGTGTGACCTGAGGGTGATGTGGTTTCTGTAACTTTTAGAGTTTGTCTTTCTATTTTTTGCAGTTCCACAAATTTTGCACATCAAGTAAAAAACATTGTTTTCAAATTTTAATAAGTCCATCTGCAACCTCTGCTTGAAATCAGCAATGTTCCATATTCAATGTCCTAACAGCAGGATGTGCTGTCATAGTTTATTTTGTATCCAGTAAAACAGGCCCTGCACTGAGTACCACCGTACTACAGGGAGTTTCTACATATTTTTTGCACATTGACAGCATTGCTTTTCTTTTCTTTTTTTGGATCACCTTAAAGTGTACAGAAAGCAGCAGAAAGCAGTCCACCAACTGAGCATACAGGAAAACACAGAAGGTTCCCACATGTCAACACTGTTGAGTGTCGGGTGAGGTACAGGGATGAGACAGCTGCCATTGGGCCTCAGCGTCCTTGGCTATAAGATTTCTAACCAGCAGCAGGCACACAACAGCACATTGTTGCTCGCTGTTGTAAATGTGCACACTTGCTTACACTTGTGGCTTTATGCACACAGCAACACACAGATAAGCCTCTCGTGCGGACACGTGTGGGACAGCACACACAGAGAGGGACAGTGAAACGCTATCGGCTAAAATCTCTGCCGTAGCACCTGTTCACAATCAACAGGCCCAGCTGTTCTGCTCCGCACAGGGCACACTGATGTCATGTAATACACAGTGACACACTGACACAGACATATGTGCTCCCTTTCCACTTGACATGTTTGGCATAAACAAACTATCTGAAATGAAGCGGCTCATATGAAATATCTTAAAGTTGCAAACCAGCCGTGCAACCTCAGTCATCAGCTCAACAGCTGCTTTCCTCACACAAAATGCCCTGAAATCAAAATATACATATAGTATATATTTGATTTTTTTTTTTTTTTACTACAGAATAGTTTAGTTCAGTTTATTTATTTACAAAAACAGCAACAGTGTACAATAGACATTAACCTCTAGGGGAGAGATGCATTGCACCAGGTTATAGCTCAAGTGCTATTTCCTCCTTCAGTCCCAGGGCAGGCTGATCTTACAGTAAAATAGATAAAAAATCATACACACATGGATATTTGCATTTACATTGACCAGGAAAAAATATCATGCATCAGATTAAAACTCTTATTCACACATTTCATTTACTAAGGACTCGTCTGATAGACCTCAGAACACACGCACACGCACACACATGGTCTCATGTGGGTGCAAGTTTGATTTGACAAGGGTCGTTTCTTTGCTTTTTTCAGCTCCGTAGGCGACATATTCCACTTAGAAAGGCCACACAAGAAAAAGCAGAGTTTTCAAATGCTGTCCAGAACGTTTATGGATCCTGCATTCACCTCGCTCTGTAGATTAGTGGCTGGAACTGTTGCTTCTGAGCCAAAAGATATAAACTCTTTTAGTAGAGGACTAGCGGTGTCAGGAAGGATCTTATACATCAGACACAGATTTGTATTTATTATTAGATTTTCAAAGCTGAGAAATTTGTGTTTTATGAGGATATGACAGTGATGGAATTATCTGCTCTCCTTATGGTGGATCTTTAGAGAACTTCTATGTAATCACTCAAATGGCATGTGAGCAGATTTACAAGCCGGTCACCAACTTGTCATACAATAAACAAAATGTGGAACAATCATTGCATTTAGGGCCACCATTGTAAGGGAATTCCCAATGTGTCTTTAATGTGCCATATTAAAATTGATAGTATTTGAAAACTGTATTAGGACAAGGTGTTGTCTTAACTTTCAAGCTTTACAGGTTGTCATGTCTGAAAATATCACAATAATCAATTAATATATTTACTAAATATTTGAAAAGAATTACTTTTTTAAATTAATTTTGCATTTTTTCCCAGTATAATCTTGCATAAATAAATAATGTTATATTTTTTCCCTCTTTATATTAAGAAAACAGATGAATTCATCTGATTTTCCATCTCAAACAGTCTTTATTCCCCTGCAGCTATGTTTAGCCCTCCTACAGGGCTTTTTTTGGCAAAGATGCAAAAAAGTTAATTATCATTTTTAAAATCTCAACCAAAAAATATTAAAAAAGATTTTTTTTTTCATTTTTAGAGAATAAATAATCTTATTTATGGAAAAATTGACGTACGTGCCCACGTCTAACACAGAGTTGATTGATCAGATCTATATTTTAGCTTCATTTGGGTTTAATTACAGTTTCCGTGTTGGATTTACATATGGGCTCTGCGATGACAGATCATCATCACCAAATGTTCCAGCAACCTTCAAAGGGGGAGTTGTAAACCACAATCTTGGACTAAGATGACCATGATAGATGTTTAGTCTGGGTCAAGTGGAACATTTCTATTTGGATTCAACCAATGTGTGTGGTAAAAATCCCATAATATTCTTCCTAGCAGAGTGTTTGAGGAATGGAATACACAGGAACCGAGCCCACAGCATCACAGACTCTATACCTAACCTAACAATGTTCCATGGTTTCACATTTTTGCTGCAGTTTAGGAAGATGGAGCACTTATAACGACATTGAAATCAGACTTTAAAACACATTCAAAAACAGAGTAACAAAAAAGAAAAAAGAAAAATCTAACTGGTGATCTTTATGGGATCTGTTGTATCAAAAAGACAAGGAAAAAGCCAGGTCAGTAGAGCAGCAGTTAATCATTGTGCTTGAAATGAAGGTCAGAGTCCAGCTCCTGATTACCTGTCAATTATTTAGCTTCCTGGAAAGTTCAGTTTAAATCCACTGTGCGTTTATTTTTATTCTTTCTTTTTTTCAAATACCACTGTTTTCATAGAAATTCCTATACAAACTGTAGTTTAGCTCCACATGTATCGAACTCTGGTTAGAACCACTAAAAATACTCT